AGCGGTGGCGAGAGCCGTATTTAAACCCTACGGCGGATAATGTGTTTATGCTGCTAGGTTGTACAGCGGAATCGCCGCTGTTCCAAGGGTTTCCGGGGAAGCATTTGCCGTGCCGGAATGTTTCCGGGATGGGCTGTGAGGAGTATTATGGGTGTCCGGGCTGGGATATTATTGGGCCGAAAAAAGTGGGGGTAGCGTATGGATCAGGTCCACCTGATTGTTGTGCAGTTTCGTTTGAAGCTATTAAGGCTATTAATTTGACTAAACTTAGTTGTCAAGGGTATAGTAGTGCTTATAGTTTAGCTCCATTGAGAGTGGATGGACCTCATGGATGGTCTTATGGGATAAGAGTGAAGTATTCAGTTGAAGGAGATGACTCATTTTGTAAAGCTTGTGAGGCAACAGGAGGATCTTGTGGCTATGATGTTAATGATTTTAGCAGTTTGTGTATGTGTGGATCATGGAATTCTACTTCCAATTGTGATTCAGGTGATTGATCATTACACATTTCCCTTCGTCTTAATCTATGTTGAATTTTTTGCTTCTCGAGAGTCAAAATATTACTCGAAGTTCTGCATCACACATGTTTAACAAAATTGAACATTTTGTGCAGTCCACTCAGCTTCGCACAGAAGAACTTGGTCGTTAATGGATGCACTAGCAGGTATGGTATGCACTAACAAATGTTAAATATTTGAAAACTGATTTAGTTTGTTAACATGAATCCTGCTCTGATAATATGTAGGACTTGTTGAATGTATTGCCATCTGGAAGCTCTCCGCCACACTTGGACTATAGGAAAAAAGTCGCTTTCTAGTGTTTGATTGATCCAAAGAAGAAGAAGACGAAGAGACGTAGTTCAAATGTGTTTACCAGAAGAACATATAAGTGCAACTTATATCAATGTTGCATCATCTCAAGTTTTGTCTGAAGAATGAAGAAATTGATTGTATGTTAGTAATTGTTATGTATGTACACATATAGAGAAAACTTGATTCTTCAAGTTACTGTATAATTTAAGACTTTGCAACTAAATATAAACCTGCTTATTCTTATTGCAATTTCCACCTTTGTCTCAATTTAGGCCTTTTTATTCTATAAGCAATACGTATACATTGTTCACTAGTTCCAATGCATTTACTTATGCAAAATGTAAAACTTAACGTGATATGTTCTTATTAACTTAATTAAGTGGTGAGATTGACATGCCAAATTGTGTAGATTTTTGAAGTTTTAATTTCTTTCGGAGTGGTAACCGACTAATAACATTGGTACATCTTTCATACAATCCAATTAGTTGTCGCTTGTCGCCTCTCTTCACTAAATTAGATATTTTATACACATATTTTCGATAGAACCCAAATTATACAACATATACTAATATTGAATCAATTGGAAAAAAGACAAGAAAGAGAAAGCATGAGGATGATAGAAAAGAAAAAACACCAGAAAGAATCAGTAGTAGTTCCCACATCTCCATACCGATCGATAGAGCTTTGTGCTTCTTCAATCAAAAAACAGTGAAAACCGTTCTTCAATCAGCGCCTACGAAAATTTGTTGTGAACAACTGCTTGTATACGAAATTCCTCAAATTGATAAAAATATAACCTTTAAAAGAAATTATAGGCAGCCTAAGATCATCGTGCTTTCTTACTAGTCAAGAATTAACTAAAAACTGTCCTATAGCCTATGGATTAGTAGAATTACTCATTATCTTTGATTTTCTAATTTGATGATGCTGGTTATTTGTCAATGTTACTGGATTCAGGAGGTAAAAGAGTGTGTAGCTCAGGCAGGAATAGATTTCATGATGGCTCCAATCTACTATCCGGCAATGAAGATTGTTAGACCTATTAGGAAAAAGCTGAAAGTAAAGACTGTATTCAACATCCTTGGACCCATGTTAAATCCAGCAAGAGTGCCTTTTGCTGTAGTTGGAGTTTACAAAGAAGACCTGGTAAATTTTCAACTTCTAACTATACTGTCACGATAAAGCTCCGAGTATGTGGTTATAAGAATCTTGTACACATCATTCTGAATATTATTCTTTTCATCTTCTCTGTTCTGGCTTCTAGTTCATAGTTGTTCGACTTGTTCTAGTGGTTGTGCCAAGTGTTATGTAGATCCATTTTGTAATCAACACGTCCTTTCTTTAGGTCGACAAAATGGCTAAAGCAGTCGAAAGGTTTTTCATGAAAAGAGCACTGGTTGTTCATTCGGAAGGTCTAGATGAGATGAGTCCTCTTGGTATTGTTCCCTGTTGCAATTATAGTTAAATCCTTTTAAGTGTAACTTACTAAAAAGAAAGTAAATCTGTTAAGTCACAATCTGTTGATAATTGGTGCAGCTTGGTGTAGGTGTGTATACACATTTTATGAAGCAACTATTGAGCTCGTTTCAATGCTTAACGACTTTCTTTCCCAACTTCTCACACACTATGTTAAACTATTAGCAGACACTAAATGCAGCAGCAGCTTTACTGGTCAGTGGACATGCTAAAAATCTGTCCAAAGGAGTGTCATTAGCTCAGGACACACTACTTTCTGGCAAAGCTCCGAGGACACTTGATCTGTGGATACATGTGTCCAACGTAAGGAAAATTCCTCGGTGTTTATTTGAATAAAGACTAGATTAGTTTACTGTATCTGTTCTCTTGTTTTGCAGAGGGTGAAGGAATCACCTTTTCGTGTTGGTCCACTTTCTACTTGAAAGTTGATGGAAAGTACCACATTGAACATATTACAGGTTCCAAATTTGTGGAAGATCAAGATTGAGAAACGCGTATAGTGGTTAAATATTCGAAATCAAAGCGAGAATAGAAGACACTTCAATCAACTTGAGTTTTTAAAATGAACAATGGTTACATCAATAGTTCACTTTCAACTACTTGACCATGTTTTTTTTCCTACTTTTTTCTGAGAAGCTATATTACTCATATGGAGGTCGTAATTGTTTAAAACATAGTCACAATCATGGTCAAACAAGAACATACAGCATAATAAATAGAGTAAATAAAGGAAGGTGTCTGACTCAATATAGAGTTGGTGTGACCCAAGTTGGAGGACTAATACTACTCAGGGAAACACCGTTGTAATGCGGTTGGATACTTCCATCTGCTAAGTTGAACACCCCATGTCCAAGCCTCCTCCTTCTTCAAAGGTTTGGTATGATCCAAAATAATGGTCTGTAAAATAAATATGATTTGGCTTGGACTGAAATAGAAGCATTATAACCCACAAAAAATGCTCTGTCCCCTAATTCCCTGGTTTCTGTCCCTTTGCCAGAAGCTAAATCAACCTGGAAAACACGAAAATCAGTTGTTCCATCTCTGAAGTACCTTAG